GTGGAGCCCTTCCTCTGACATTCCCCATGAAAACACGCAGCTTCTCCTGACCCACTTCTGTCCACAGACCAGTGTGGCCATCGCAAGGGGGAAGCAGACATGCATAGCCCTTCACACATCCAAGCTTCACGGGGTCCCGGAATCCTGAACCAGCAGGGTCCCAAGAACAGGAGAAATCCACACATGTCGTGTGCCTGATTCTCCCTATTTCAGATGCGCATCCTAATGTGTCGATGGGTGAGCAGGATTGAGTGGAGCTACCCGTTGGCAGGGGCAGAGGCACGACCCCACAGCCTCTCTGATCATGTGATGGCCCTTCGCATGAGTAAGAGCTGTACCTTTGGAGTCGTCTTCAGGAGCACCTGCACAGAATGAATATTGATGTAGTGTAGTCTGAAAGTTACCAGGGCACAGTGAACTGGCCAGATGATCCCTGCTCAGGAGGGAGCATACTTAATAGTATTATCAATATCATTTACTGTATTCCTATACTACTTCTCATTGCACAAATCCTGGGAGTGGCATATTAGCTACTTCTCAGTTATCTTAGGAAACTGGACTCTTGAACAGTTTCTAAAGTTGCTATTTTAGGTGGCCAATAGCTTTTTTCTGAACAGTCCCCACCTGGAGGTAAATTAGCCAAAAACAACTGCCCTTTCTCTTGCATTCTGTTAAAGGGGCCAGCATCCTACAATAACATGTTCTGTTGTTGTGCATGTATTTGTACTTTTAGCTTTTTGTTGTGTGCTTTCTTTTTCCAGAAAGGGTCATATTAAAATGTCCATAATAAATAAGAAATGTATTTGCGTCAGTTTGTTTGATTTAACAATGACACTTTATCTATCATAATTCAGCGTACTAGCATGCAGTCAGATTAAACTGAATATTAAATTCATTTGCCAGAGTAAATCAAGTTCACAAAAGATATATTGCCATGTTACTTTCAGATCTTTCTCTATGTTATGTTGGCTAGAAATGTGAATCAGACTTGGATCAAAGCTATCTGAGGCTGAAAAAAAGCAGAATTACTATGACTTTAGCAGCAATACCGCTAAACCATTTAGGTGAAGAGGGTAGGTCTTGCAATTGCCAGTCTACTCTTACTTTTGCCTTTTTTTTTTTTTTTTTTTTTTAGCAGCAAAGAATATGCATAGAACGCTTTTCTTTTGGTATGGATTAAAATGGACACAGACATATTTACTTACTATATTTAAGTATATACTATATATAGACTATACATTGAGTGAAACCTTATTATCAAGTTCCTTTCCTGCCTTTCTGTTAGCTTAGCTTACCGAAAAGGTGAGGGCATGCAATGTGAATTGGGGGAAAGAACAGGACCGAGAGACATCCCTAAGAAAGTTCAAGTGTGTTACTGTCTGTAGAATCCCAGAAGCATAGCACATGACTAGACCACATTTTTCTTCTCTCGTAGCTTTGAGTAACTTTCAGGAATGACTTGAAATGCAGATTTTAACTCTGCAGTGAGAAAATATTGGCTGACAACTGAAGTCCCTCAAGTGGTATGCTTTTATGAACCCTCTGGGTTGGTTCATCACTCCATAAATAGAGGGCTGCTTCTCCCAGCAGAAGACTTCCAATCCAGCACATTGTTTCCAGTGATGGAACAGGGACAGAGGCAATCTTCGCTGTTGTCAGTCTCCAGTCCCATTTGAAAATGCTAACTGGAGGGTTCGGAAGTTCTCCAGAAAGTAGTGAAGGTGGTACCGGATATTGCAAAAGCACCAGGAATCAGCAAAGATTGCATCCCACTGGCCTGGCTGGGCCTGCTGGAGAGCAACACACATTGTGCATTCTGGGTCATGCCAAGTGAGGCAGGACCTTGGAAAGCACACTGTAAGAGGTGCTGACCGCAGGATGCTTTCATATAGAGATGCTCTTCCAGCAGAGCACTAGAACCCCACCGAGGCCTTTGATGGGCTACCAGAGCCTGGCATTTCAGTGGCTCCACCCCTTCTGTTTGTTGACCACAGTCCTCAAATGGCCATTGGAGGCTTCTTCTGTCTCATGCTCCTGTGTGCCTGGAGGACAGGAGGGGCTACATCCTCAGATGATAGGAAAGCTGGGAAGGAATGGAGGGGGTGCTGATGGCTCCCCCCAAAGTGGTGTGTCCAGTGACCTGCCTGAATCAGAATGCTCCTAGGGATAGTGCAGAAGAGTGGAGGAACTGTGGATCCATGGACATGATGCCACTCTTCAAAATACTGCACACATGCCCAACATTGGAGGAGTGAAGAACCACCAACCGACGAACTGATCCTAAAAAAGATCTTGGACTGTGCCGAAATGGACAGATTGACTTTGTCTCTGAAGGAGAAAGAGGATACAGACTTCTATCAAACTTGGAACTCCTTTTATTATTGGCTAGAGAAACGGGACTATGCATAGACTTAAATATGTTTATGGATTACTATAAAAAAAAATGGGGGGCTGACCCAGTAGGTCTGATGCTTTTGATGACTGATGATTTTTAGTTTATTTTTGTTAGTCAGATTCAATAAAACTTATTTAAAAACAATAAACAAAGAATTGCACACAGACAACATTGTGGTGGGCAGAAAAGAGCCTGGATCCAAGCCAGGAATACTCTCATGAACTCTCAGCAGCAGACAGTTGAAGAAATATTGACGGTCTGCTTCCTCCCCTGCTCTACTTTCTCACCTGGCTGTTGCTGCTCAGTGACTTTTGCAAGAGGTGCCCAGAAAGGTTGAAGCGACTGTTTAAAATTTCCCAGTCCATTGAGCTACCCATTTGGTAAGCCAGCCCAGTATCATTCCCATCTATGTAGCACAGCTTGACTTTGAGTTCCTAGAAGACATCTTAAAAGATCCCACTGAAAGTGCCAAGAAATAACTTTGGCAAGTGCACAACCCTATTCAAGTTTAAGCAGCAGGCAGACTGGCAGCTCCTGGTATAACCCACAGTGCACCCTAAATCCTCATGTTAGCTCAAGAGATTAGGGCCAAATGGGAGCAACTCTGAGACTGGGATGGGGCTGAAGCTGCAAACTGCTCTTTTGAAGCCAAACTGTTCTGACAAATACTGAGAATTATTCCTCAAGATTACCCATAATATTAAAACAGATGTGCAGAGTTTGCAGAAGTAATGTCCTTTTGGAGAAAGGTGTCTGTTTACACAGCTCTGGGTACAGATCAGTCATTAGTTGGACAGGTTTGAATGCTTTGAAATGCTTCCACAAATGGAATAAATGACTTATGTAATTCCATTTCTTAATTTCAGCCCCCAGTCCAGCCTCCAGTCAAGTAGAGTCAGTCAGAGGTTCAGAATTGCATTCCATGGACTCCTTGGGCTAAAGGCCAAGCCAGAACTTTGACATTCTTCTCCCCACCCCACAAGCCTTGCTCTCAGCTGTGAACTTGACCCATGTTGTGTTCAGTGCAGAGACCTGTTTTTCCTTTGTTCTGTTTTTCTTGCCTAATCATTTGAAAGTGATGGGCCTGTTGTTTTATAATGTGCAGCTGCAGAAATATGATTCTCTGTTGCCTTTGGATTTACAGAGTCTGAATTTGAGCCACATGCCCTTATAAGTTGCTGTTGTTAGTCGCGAAGTCGTGTCCGACCCATTGCGACCCCATGGACAACATTCCTCCAGGCCTTCCTGTCCTCCGCCATCCCCCGGAATCCACTTAAGCTGCCTCAGTGACTCCATCTAGCCACCTCATCCTCTGCTGTCCCCTTCTTCTTTTGCCATCTATTGTGCCCAGCATTAGGCTCTTCTCCAGGGAGTCCTTCCTTCTCATTAGGTGGCCAAAGTGTTTGAGTTTCAGCTTCAGTATCTGGGCTTCTAAAGAGCAGTCAGGGTTGATCTCCTCTAGGACTGACCGGTTTGATTGCCTTGCGGTCCAAGGGACTCGCAGGAGTCTCCTCCAGCACCACAATTCAAAGGCCTCCATTCTTCGGCACTCAGCCTTCCTTATGGTCCAGCTTTCATAGCCGTACATTGCAACTGGGACAACCATAGCCTTGACTATATGCACTTTTGTTGGCAGGGTGATGTCTCTGCTTTTTAGTATGCTGTCTAGATTTGCCATAGCTTTCCTCCAGGAGCAAGTGTCTTTTAATTTCTTGGCTGCAGTCCCCATCTGCAGTGATCTTGGAGCCCAGGAAAATATTTTCCTGGGCCCTTATAGGTACCATAGTAAAAAAGCCATTAATTCCTTGCCATCACTCAGGACTCTACCATGAGGATGCAAGGACAGCACCAGTACAGCAAAAGAAAGCAAATGTTTATTATAGCCCTAGCAAATGTTAAAGTACTTGATCAATATAATTTTTAAAAATGCATTAAAATTCTTCCTTCTCAATCTTAAGCAAAAATGCATCAATTTAATTGCAAAATGAAGATCTTCAACCTGCAAATGATGGGGAAGAGGGAAGTGTAACTACTGCTAGCTAGATGCTCTAAAAACAAAAAATGGTCATTATTGCCCAGAGTTTACTTTTGTTTACCGTAACAGGAGGATGGATGGGGGATTAACTGTACAGCAGAGAGAAAGAGAGAGAGAGAGAGAGGAGTAGAGAGGGGAAGGAATTCTAACAATAAAATGAAAGCAAAGCCATTCCACAATTTCACAGTGATTTGATTTGATTTTTCCTCTTCCTGTCTTCATTTCTTTTAGCTTGAGTCATGTCTTTTCAGATTGCAAACCTGCAAGCAGGGGCTGTCTTCTTTTACTGACCATATTTAGGGGATCTTTTTTGGCTGAGGAACAAGATAAAATGCTTTAAATAAGGTATGATGAGACAAAGGTCATAGAAGAACAATAATGCTGGATTTTGAAGTGAGACTGCAAGTGGAAGTCTTCACTACGAAAGGAACCTAAAGAGTCGTGATGGGGAAATTTTTCCAGGCAAAGAATGCACAAACAAGGGAGTAGGAAGAAGGATTAAAGAATCCTAACAGGAAGTGAGCTTCAGCAGACTGGAAAGATTGACAAGACAAATAAACAAGAAGGTGCATGAACGAAGCTGATGGTCAGCAGACAGACAGCAGCCATCAGGCAGCAAAGCAGGTAGGCAAGCAAAGAAGCAATTCTACTTGATCCTAAGGAAGCGGTTTCTGAGACGGAAAAACCAGCTCCATAAGGGCCAAAAGGAGTCCTACTGGCTCCTTGTGGGACCTGAGCTGGAAGCTCCAGGTGTGTGTGTGTGTGTGTCGCTTTCTGCCTGCCCTTCTCCCTTTCAGGGAAACTACATCCTCCTCCTCCACTCCATTTCGTTCTCACAACTACACTGTGAAGTAGGATAGGCCTGAAGTCAGCCATGAGCTTCATGGCCAAGCAGGGATTTGAACCCAGGTCTGCCCAGTGCTGGTTCAACATTCTCTAACCACTATGCTACATTGGTTCCCACCGAACAGGTGTTCACACATGCATGTTCCTCACCCGAAGACCACAGTGATACAACTCATGTGCATCTCTTGTCAAATGGTTCCATCGTCTTGCTTTATCTCTGGGTTTGACACAGATACATTCAGTGGCTACAGCCCTTGCACTAACTGCATTCTTCCTCCTGCTGGTAAACATGATTAACTGGGTCACTGGAAGTGTTAGTAAGAAGAGCGTGGGCTGCAGAACCTGCCTAGGCAGGACAACTTCCTGCTGTCTGCAAATGGAGATCCAAGAGAAAGGGGGAAGCTGCTTTTCCCTCCCAACACAGTTCAGACTCACTCAACTGCACATTTCCATTGAGTGGGCTCATGAGCCTAATGCTCAAAGCATTTTTTCCTCTCATCCATTTTTAGATTTTCTCCGAGTTCATTTCCAGTCACCCAACAGCTTACGCTCATATTGCAACATTTTCTTGATTTTCTAATGATAAAAGTAGCATGAAATGATACTCGGCCAGCTCTTCTGGGAATTCTCTGAGCTTGTTTGTTTCTGCAGAAAATACATTGTGTTATCTAGCTGTTCTACACAGATTAAAGCCAGCACTTTTTATTTAAAAAACATAATCCAAGTAGCAAGCACGATAACTAGGGCTAAACAAACAGAACTCCTGAAGAAACCCAGAGATGAATCTTCTAGCTTTGTCAACCACTTTATTCCTGTCCTTTCACAGGATTACACGAGGTAAACCTATCCAGGTGTGTCCTTGGTCCAAGTAAAGATGCTACCTCTGTGTTGTTATAATTTTAACCATTCTTTCTCTATATTATGAGCTTAAAGATGCCAATTCTTTTGCAGGGAATCCAGAGGAAAAATGATCCAGGTGAGCTTGATTTGTAACTATTTTACAAGGTGCTGAGCTCTCAGTTCTGTGCTAATGCCAGTGCGGTGTAGTGCTTACGTGTGCTGGGTGGGACTCTACTGTCTTTCCAGGAACCCCCACACTGTGACAGCTTCTGTCTTGCTTCTGTCTTAAGCTATTGAAACTGAGCAGGTGTGTGTCAGCCCCTGTGTGCCCTTTTCGGATTCACCAGATCACCATGCTCCTGCCCCCGATCCCTGTTGTATGACGCGGTTTTACGGATGAGACCAGAGACCAGTTGGAATTCTCAAGAGAAGGAGTTTATTTACCTGCCTGCAGGGACCATCACTCGTTAGAGTGCGGTCCTGAGCAGATCGAAGGCAGGAATTTTATACTCTTTTACACGGACGGCTATGCAGGTGCTTGAATAACAGCGAACAATAGGGGAAATCCACTGAGCTACATTCGCACATATTTTTTTATGCTAAAGCAAACAAGCAAGGGTACAAGGGCGTAACGTTATGCTGGAGCGTAGCAACAAAGTCTGCTTTGTGGTCAGCCTTGCGTAGCGTGCACATTCGTTGGGGTTCTTGTTCTTACGTGAACAGGACACTTTGATCATGCTTCTTACCCGTGACGAGCCATGCCCTAGCTGCATGTTCGATTAAGAGGGGGGTTACAACAATCCCTTTCCTCTGACTGCCAATCATGTCTGGTTTCCTGGCTTTTCTGCACTCCTGTCTCCCTTGAAAGTAAGGAATGCTGCTCCTAAGTCTTAGATATTGGCAATAAACTGGGTATATTGGTGTCTGCGGCATTTTGCTTCTTCCCCTGTGCCTTTGGCCCCACCGCATTTTACCTGCATCCCCAGCCACCACAGGAATCTTAATGAATTTTGGAAATAATGCAATAATTGAAGAACTGAATGCTGTCTCTGTCTATTTCAATCCAAACCATAACAGTGTTCCAGCTGTCTCTCAGTCTCTCTCCTGTCCTCTGATAGATGTGGAGACATATTTCATCATCAAATAATATATCTTTTCAGTCCATCAAACAATATATATTTTACTATTTTTAATTAGACATATTGCTTGCCTTTTTTAATCAAGGAACTCAGGGAAGCTTTTATGTTCCCCACATGTTATCTTCCCAACAACCCTGTGAGGAAAGTTAAGCTGAAAATGACAAGCCCAAGACATCCCATGAATTACATGGCTAAGTGGGGACAACAATCCACAGTCCCAGCCCAACTCTATGACCTAGATCACACTATCTCTCATATATATGTGCTATATGATTTATGTTAAAAAGTGTACATATATATTGCTTCAAGTATGAAAGCCGATTAAGAAAATCAAGCAAGCAATAGCCCAGCTATGTCCCTTCAAAAAGGCAAACCGCAAATATTAAATTTCATGCTATAGCTGGTGCATCAAAACAAACTTGTTTCTTATGATCTAGCCTGATTCCATTTTCAGTACTGAATGAAGAACATTCATTCCCTTCTTAAAAGTCTGTTGTCGGTATTTTCCCTTCTCCAAGATTTCTACAATTTATTCTTCCACATGCTTTCCTTTTCCAGGCTTTGAAGATGAGAATCATCTGTTTAGTATAGTACATGTTTACTGGGAACACAGAAGTTCCAGTTAAACTGCTCACCAATGTCTGGTGTTCAGTCTTTGCCATCCTTATAGGCATCCTAGCAAAATTATGAAAATATCAGGTCATATTTCAGAGTCTGCTATGTCTTCCAGGGGCACCTGTATATGCTTCGAATATCCTATTACTGGATGGGAGACTTCGCCTGTTAAAACACCACAAAAGATTGGGTCTGAGAATATGCATAGCCATCTAGGGAACTCCAGGGGGTCAGATTGTCCCCCAGGCTTGAGACTGTGCACCTCTGCTTTAGTCACTATATCCGATGCATAACCTGGAACCCCTCTATAGAGAGTAGGAGTCCGATATTACCACATTAAGGCACAGTCCTATTCAGAAAGAGAAAAGTCCTACAACTGTCAACATTCCTTCACTGGCCATGTTGACTGGAAAATGCTGAGAGTTGCTGCTGTTTTTTCTGTTTAAACTTATATAGGATTGTGTCCTAAATTTTTTTTCAGGTCTCTTTAGTTTTGATAACTTTAATTTCACAACACTTGAAGGATTGCATAGAAAGAAGGTCTTTGGTCTTCCTTGATAAAATTCATTTCTCAGAGGCCATTGAAATAGAGCTCTATTTCTATTTCCCCCTTTCATGGCATTTTGAATATAACTTTTGATCTTGAAAACACAGAAGGTAAAAACTGAATAGTTCCTACATTTTGACAGACTTGGATATATAAAAATGATGGATTTCTTCTTAGGAAAGTCAATAAGGGTGCGATCCTATGCATGCAGGACAGAAAAAGTCCTACATCTTCAGCAGCAGAACAATCCATTAGATTGAACAACCTGTGTTCAATAGGTCAAGGGAAGATGTAACCCTAATTTTACAGCTGCCCAAACAACGCCCCATGAGAAATCATTTCATTATCCAATCCCTACTAACGTTTTCCAGCCTCTTCTCTCCCACTGCCACTCTATTTTTGCAGGAGAAGCTAATTCACGCCAAGATGACATTGTGCATAGAAGAACGCCACGCAGTGCTGTGAGCTGCAATCAGAGTTGCTATTGGCCTAGATCGGAAAATGGAGCAGTCAGCATCCCAGTTAACATCTCTACAGAATTTTGTAAGTCACTTCAAAACTTCAGTGTATGCATTGATACTGAATAGAGAATTAAAATTCGCCATGCAATAACCAGAAATACAACTTCCTCCTTGTAAAGGTTTGGTTGACCCTACACAATTTGCATTTAAGTGTCAGTGCAAGGTGTACTCGTTTGTGCCGGATGTTAGACTACATCAAATGTAGCTGATTGCTTTTTAGTTCTGCTTCTGATCCATGTTATTGTATGTGTGTTTGTCCTGTGGTTTTATTTGTGTTCTCAGGATTGGTTTCATGTTTTTGTGTTACGAGGATTAACTGCCTCAAACTCCTTTGAGTGGAAATATGAGATACAACAAAAACAGGTAGACAAAAGCAGAAAGCTGTTGGCATCTATGGAAATCAATGAATAAGCTAGCATCCACCATTTTAACTGGGTTGGATGGGAGTCGTTTTCCTATTAGGCAAGGTCTTGGGAGACCTGTCCATGGCCTCAGCCAGGGCACTTGACTCTCAACACCTCTGTCCAGGTGATATGATCTTTAGCAGAGCATAGCAACTGACTGTGTTTTTCTCTTGGGAAAAGATGGAGACGGGGTCTGGCTGACAGAGCCCTTCTCCTCAAAGGAGGCTACAAGGGTTTAAAGATGTACTCACATGGAGCCATGCATGACTAAATATGTGTATCTATGTATTTATACATATATTTAAATTATTTTCCAAGATCTAAACTGCCTGTTGAAGGTCTAGAGTATGGCAGTTTTCTCTTTCTCTTGCTCATCCTCCTCCTCCCCCCCCCCGACTACATGAGACAAATCAAGAGTCCATGCAGATAAAGTTGGCTTGAGATCTTTAGTGGACAGATCATCAGAAGAATCTGGAGATAGAAATGTTTAAGACAATGTTTAAGTGTGATAAAGAACAACCTGTCAGATGGCAGTGTCAAAGCTAACAAGTTCCTTGTGGCCCAAAGGTGTTGGACTGTATAGAGCATATCCAAGCCAATGGAATGTATTTTGTACTTGAGTATCTTTACAAAAATGCAAAAAATGCCATAACAAAGTACACATCCAAGCTTGAAACAGATGCCAAAATGCTACAGTGATCAGTAGAGGGAAGTGTCATTCTGCCGAGGCCAAAGTCTCCCAGCAGCAATGTTCCATGGGCTGCATGCTGGCTGTGGAAGGGCTGGAGCTCTCGGTCGATGGGGCCAGAGCCACCTACACATTTAGAGACACTGGCAGTAATGCTGAGAGAAAGGAGTGTGGTGATGACAGTATCAACTTGTGGCTCTTCCTAACACAGAAAGCCAGAGCCAGCCCTAAAGGAAAAGCTATATAAGATCCAGCCCTTCACTTCAGATGCTGCCTCAGCCATAAGAGGTTTTGATGTTGTTGGAGCTCCGTCTGCCTTCTGGAACCTGCTTCTGGAAACTCTGCCTGTTGTCTTGCTCCTGCCTCTGCTTCTGGACTATGCCTGGCTTCACCTGCTCCAGCTTCTGTTCCAGCTTCCACTCCAGTCCCAGGCTTCCGCTTCTCCTCAGCTTGTCTCTCTGGCTTTCAACTCCTGACTGGCATTGACTGCTCTGCTCTATTTGAATTGGCCTACCTTGCACTTCTGTTACCCGCTTTGACCTCTGGACTGCCTGCCTACGATTTGGAATGGGCCTGTATATTGCACCGGTTGTCCGGGTCCTGGTGCCCTGACCTGATACCCAGCTGCCCATGCCCTGGACACTGACAAGGGGTGCCAAGGGAAGGCATGATCTAGTGAGGACCCACACCCCAAGGGAGTGCCACTGGCAAGACCCCTGGACTTTTTGCCCTTCCTCTTCCGCATTGCATTCGGCTTGTTCTCCGCCTCTCCATCTGGCCCGGGCAGCAGCGGTGGTGCTGCGGAGCAGGAGGAGGAGAAAGCTCTGAGCACCTGTGGCAGGGCATGCAGGTGGGGGCAGTGATGAGGGAGAGGGTGAGGAGCTTGAGCATTGGTGGGGAGAAGGTGGCTCAAGGGTACTCCAAACCTGGGGTTGGCACTACATGCATGCACATGTGAACACACATGCACTTGCACAGTCCACCCACCCATTTGCACAGCTTGGCTCAAAGAAATGGATGTGGACCTCTAGATGCTCCCCTGCCCTAGTCGTTCCCTGGAAAAGGCCAAAAGAGAGCACAGATTTCCCCCAGTGGTTTCCTCTGTTTGAAATGTCTTTGCAACAGGGATCTTCACTGTCACGCAATAAATTGAACATAGTTTGAGTGGAAAGTGATCTTTAAAAAATTTAGATTACTAGCTATCTCAAGGCAACCCTTATCCCACATATAGAGAATTTGTTCTACAAATTATTCACCATAATGGTAAATCCAGGTGTGCGAGGAGCTTTTCCATGTTGGCAAAAATTCTTCTCCTTGAATTTAAGCACACATAATAGGGGGTATTTTAACACACACAATACTGAATAATTTAACATGTTCCATCATTCCCTTATCACATTTCTTTGCAGCCCTGGAGCAGAGGCTTGTGATAGCTGAAGCCATGCAAGAGTTTGTCACGCTGACCTGTATCCGTTTTGTTAGTCGCACAACAGAACATGACTACATAGATATTGTCCCGGGAGATAAGTAAGTGCCATTACTTCTGATGATATCTGAGAATACTACAAAGGCTTAAGATGGAATCCTCCTGAATACAGCTTTTACAGACCCCAGAAACTGGATATTTATTGGTGTTTGAAATGCTAATCCTATGAATTTTCCTCCAATATATCATCATTAGTGAAAATAAGATTTTAATATAATACAAAGACTCTGAGCACAAGATGTGGACATATATTATGTAGGTCAGCCCTATATATTTTGTTGCAAAGATAAGCTGCCTCTCAAATTAGCTTCTTGCGTTTTTACTGATAATTCATCTTTGCTGTGAATTAGATATGCACAACTAGTCCTGTGTGATGTTCACATCTTGGGATACAAATCTCAAGATGTGTGTCTTTTTAAAATCATTTTTTTTCATTTTTGCTTCCAGGGTAAGCGCTGCCTTGATTTCATCTGGGACCCACTGGTTTATCTTTCTATCTGTCCAGGGCATTCACAAAGCTCTCCTTCAGCACTATATTTTGAATGAATCCATTTTCTTTCTGTTGGTTTTCTTCACTGCTCAGCTTTCTTCATTGTCACACCCATACATTGTGATTGGGAATACAATAGTTTGGATAATCTTGACTTTGGTCTCATGTAAAACGTCCTTACACTTTGAGCAATCAATTTTACCTCCCCACTAAAAGGCTACAGGAATCACAGAAGTGGACAAATTGCAACTAAAACTCAATGTATAAATTGTATTTCAAATATGGAATCAAATTATGTTTCAAACATGTCGAACAGTTTTCTCAGTCTCTGGTTTTCTCAATCACTGTGTTAGCAATCACTTTTTCCAAGCAGTTACTGAATTACTATATATATTTCATTTTACTTCACATTCTGAATACAAGTATTGCAGCTGGTATTGAAGCTTGATATGTGTGCAACAAATTTTATTCTGGGATCCCGATGTTCAAGAGACTTGTATTGCAAGCAAACAAAATGCAGAACAGGCTGGTCAAGGGTCAAGAATCAGCGACGTCTGCTACAAAACTTCTGTGAAATAATATATTTTTTCTTTTACACTCTGCTGGCAAATAGTTGATTTCTCAATAGTTGCTTGGATTTATTACTACGACTACTACCATTAATTTTATTTCTTTACTGCCCAATAGCCAAGGCCCTCTGGAGGTGTACAAAAACTGAGTTATATTACTTGGGTTAACAAATATGCTGCACTGTTTAATTTCTTCTCATTTCTGCATTGTGGTGCACTGCCCTTTTGGTGTGTTCTGTTCAGTTAAATCAAAAGCCTTGTTTCATTCAGCCAGCTAGGTAATTTAGGCTACAATCCTAAGCACATTGTCTTGAAAATGTGCCCTACTGAATACGGTGAAGGTTATTTCTGAGTAAGCATGCCTAGGAGTGCACTATTAATCTTGCATTTGCAATTATTTTCAGTTATGCTTACAGGAGTGCATTGTGACTTTTACATAATGTCAAATCTACTTTATGAAATGACAGTTGTGGCTTCCTGTGTTCCCAGGTGCTGGTCTTATTTTGGGAGGATCGGAGGCAGGCAGCATTTGGGCCTGCTGAAACCGGGCTGCATATATAAAGGATTAATTCAGCATGAGCTCAACCATGCATTGGGTTTCCTGCATGAACAGACCCGGAGTGACAGAGATGATTACGTTAAAATCAACTTGGAGTATGTTGCAGCCGGTATGCATCCACTAGTGCTCAGTAGCCATTTGGTTCTTACTTGGAGTTGAGCAGTGATGCAAAATCACAGGCCTAGGAGCTAAATCCATCCCTCCGGGGTCGTAAGCCAGCCCTGTGAGGTTCCTTGAAAAGCCATGCCACTTCACGTGCTGGCCTTGCTCTTTCCTCCAAATGCCTATCGATTGTGCATTCCTGCCTCCATTCTAAGAGGATGAAATGCATCTCCTAAGATTGTGCTACTTGCAGGAAGAGCTTGATGTTACAATATGCTGGGGGGTGGATTGTGGGGGGGGGGACTTTCAGCTTTGTCCTTGGCCCTGCCCAAGGAATGTGACTCCCCAGAACTTCGGTCTGCAAATGCTAATTCATTTATCTCCGTCTATCATTGCCTGCCTGCTTTCTGTATAAGCACTGTGAAAGGCACAGTCATTAAAACAATGCAACCATAAATGATTTTTTAAAAAGAAGACAACATAAAGCAATTAGGGAGCAGTAATGGAGCAGCCTTAAATGGAGATTGAATAGAGATGTCTAACAGTATCCTAACTTTGCTGGAATTTAGTCATTATGAGCATATTAAAATTTTCAACATCTTTTTTTTCTAAAGTCCTACAGATTTGGCTCAGTCCTGGCTCAGATTTCTTCAGGCAATGCATTTTGGGATAGTGAGCCCATAGCTAGAAAATCTCTGCTTCGGGTGCTCCAGATTAATTTCGCACAACAGAGTTTAAACAAAATTATATTTTCAGATATTAGCAGGTCAGAAGGGGAGGAAATCCCCACAGGTACTGACTTATATGCTGGGGGTATACACATCTTGCCAGGTGACCTTCCCATAACTTTACTAGGGTGGCTGATAAGCCTAACAGGCCTCGGCTTTTTGTACAGTTCTGTAGCCGCTCCTGGGCTCACCATGTCATCCTAACTCAGCTGACACAAGAAGCCCAGGGGCTACCCAAAGGGCTTCAGAGCCCCTTGGCAAGAGCAGCCCAAAAATCTGCGGCACTGCCAGGTGGGAGTCGCACAGCAGGGTGGTGCTGGTGCCAGTGCCAATCTCAGGCTTGGCAACAGATCACGACACCACCAACAGACCTCACAGAGGGCCTGGCCCTGAGGACACAGCCTTAAGCATGTCGAGCTTAACATGCACAGTGTGTGCCAGCGTGGTTGCACACTAGTGTGAGTGTGTCTGGCCCCGATTCGTATTAAGATGATTCAGATTAAGACAATGTTCCAGGATGGGATGCTAAGCCTTGTCCCCCTTCACTGAAGCCTTGTTCATTACAAAATTCTACCCCTTCCCAAGTTTTTGTTTAACAGACAGACAGACAGACTCATCCAGAAATGGTGGTTGCTTCTTTCTTTGTTTAACATCAATTTTAGGATGAAAATGGGATGATTTTTAATCCTCCTATCAGAGTATTGCAATCTCAGTCTGAAATGTGGCAATGGGAACTTACACTGGAGTTTAAAAGAGACAGACTGTCTGTCTGTCTGTCTGACTGACTGACTGACAGATGGCTTTCTCACATAGCTTTTCTATGTGTGATTAGAGGAAAGCTTCGTGTGGCCTTGAAACCAGGCAATCCTGATGACAGGCGTTTTGTCCGGCAGTGACATTCTGCATCAAGAGCAGTTTTCCTGGTGCCTTCAAGGCTGAGCTCATGTACAGTGCTAATGAAAATCTTCCCGGCTGCCGCAGCAAGAAAACCAGAGTCATGGTATTTTCAAAGCCATGGTAACAGCGAGACTGAAATGAGGATGCTTCAAGCAGCCCATCTACTCTGCAGGGTTGGTGGTGGCCATGAGGATGCTGGGCTTCCTCTCCCTTTTCCAAGCACATGCTGGTGCTTACTTGGGCCAACCCTTCACAGCTCAGGTCCTGCATACACAATGGACAGCCTGTTCAAATATTAAGATCTTTTTTGGAAGTTCTGCACCAAGGATATCCCTACAAATGATATCAGGCAAGGTAGGTAGCCACTGGAGAAGAGGTCTTTGCAGTAGTGGGTCCACAATCACGCAACACTTTGCCCAGGCAGCCTGACCTGGTGCGTTTGCAAATATCTTTTAGGTGCTGATATGAGACCTTTCCACATCTTCTCCGAGCTTTTCATCTCTGCAGCTGTTTTTAAGCGCTGTCTGTTCCTGTTGTCAGCAGCAGTTCCACTGACTGTTGCTGTTTCAGGATGCAATCTTACGCATGTTTAGACGGCAAAAGGCTGTGCCACTCGCAGCACCCTGCCCGCCCCAACAGCCATGCTTCTTGGAAAATGCTCAGAGTTGTAGGACAGACATGCACAGGCCTGTGCCCTCATTCTCTCTGATGTTCTATTCTTGTGAACTGCCATGGCATTTTTTAACTGAAGAGCAGCATAAACAGAAAATTCCTTCAGCAAACACAACAAAATGTTGTGTGCGTGTGTGTGTGACCTTCCTTTTGTCAAAATGCTGACATTTTGCTGTAATCGCAGGAAACTGTAGCATCATTTCAGCTGGCTCACAGATCCTTTTGGCAATTCTGCACCATTCCTTTTGCCCTTTCGTATACACTGTACAATGAAGATTACACCCTCCTCACTGTATCTCTTTGTTTTTATCTTTATTACTACTGAAATCTTCAGTCATTTTCTCATTCTTTTTGGGAAAGCAGGAAAACACTTTATTTTTCTGAATGTAGGTTTTCATATTTTCCTTCTGACTTATTACATGCAATTTAAGAACATCAATTTTCTACTGTTAAGGTAGCATTAGGATTTTCTGGAAACTGCCTGTAATATTTTGTGCATGTTGTCTGTATATTTGACTGCTACCAACAGACCTGCAGCCCAGGAATTGGTTTGTTATTTCATACCAGCGTTCAAAATGTATCTGCTCTCCTCTCATTCTGACAGATGCTAAAGTTCTTTGCTTGTCAACAGAACACACAGGTTAGACTGTATGAATGTGGCATATTCCACAGCCTTTCTTTCTTTGGCTCCTGCCCCTTGCAGACTGAAGCTCAAAACTGAGCCAGAAATTCACAAGTGGTTTTACAATTAAAGATGCAAAACTATGCAAATTTAGATAAGATTTTTTTTTCTGCCTAAGCATGCATAGGATTGTACCCCAAGCTGTTGCTGTATTTGCCGCTGCTCTATTTTCAGGCTGGTGCCAATGAGAATGAGCCTTTGATCCTCTCCCTGTATATTTGTCATTTCCAGCAGCTCCCCGCAAAAGAAGTGAGGTGGGTAGCTACCAGGAGAAGGGCCTTTTCAGTTTTGGCACCCCAGCTATGGAACGAGCTGCTTAAAGAGATGTGCCTAGAGCCTACTTTGTATTCCTTCCAGCACCAAGTGAACACTTTTTCACCTTATCCTGGGGGATAAAAATTTCCTAGCATTTTAATAGTTTAACTTTTTAACTTTAGTTTTAATATTGCATTTTATCATGTACAGCTACTATGCCTGTATGAGGATTCAGTTGCCATTGCTGTGTTGTTGTTGTTTTATATTACTTCATGTTGACTCTGTGTTTTTAACTTTTGTTAACCATCCAGACAACCTCAGCTACGGGGCTGTATAAAAATGAAATAAATATACAAATAAATTTATGACTCATTTAACTCTCATATTTTCCAGGAGAACAGGGGAATTTTGCAAAAGTGAACTCCACTAATCTGGGTCTTCCATATGACTACAGTTCAGTGATGCACTATGGAGCGTAAGTTGAGTTTGACAGCATTTTCCTTTTTCAGGCCGAATTGGTCACAGTGGTAGGGAAGAATTCATAATCCATAATCGTTTTCAAAGTAGAATCCATCTTTTAATTTAGAACCCATTTTCTCTGCAAATTACTGATACTACTCTGTTCCCTCTCCCTCTCTCTTTGGGTGGGTGGTGAACAGTATACAATCTCTACAAAGTTTGTGTGCTCCAATTCTCAAGAAACCATTTCACAATTATTCTTTTGGTGGGGGGAAGCCAGCTTCATGGGGTTTGGGGTTGAAAAGCAGAGACTACATGATAGTCCTTTTCAGCTACTGTCATAAAAAGCGAATTGCTTTAGCAGTAAACCGTTATATCAGTATGAGGGATACCAAGGGTTGGACAAACCTTTTGGGTATGTTTTCTTGCTTTAATGGAAAGTATAATGTCCATGAATCTTCTGAAAACTGTTTGAAATCTCAGGACAAAATAAGTGACAGCTCTGCCATAATATGGCTGTTCAAAGCCTGACACCGTAAGAACACCTTTAGACAGCTAAAGGACAGCTTAGACTTTAGGTGGGATTCATGATCTGATCAAGAATCCATGTCACAAGTCTAGCTTCCTGCGTATGCCTTAGAAATGCTAATGGCCTGTCCTGAAAATTCTTCTTTTGTATTGTGTTCAACCCTATTGTTTTACCCTATTGTGCCTCTAGCATACTATGTGCAGGATCCCCCACCTGATCACCCCTCCCCCTGGTTTCCCATGCACACATAATTCAAAATATTGCATTCTGATATTACCAGATGTTATGTAATGAACACAGCTGTTCTGTTTCCTTCAGATACGATTTTTCTAACACTGCTGGGAAAGCAACCATTGTCCCTGTCCCGAATGCATCTGTACCAATTGGGCAGAGGGCAGGGCTGAGCAATCTGGATGTGAAGAAAATCAACAAGCTCTACAGCTGCAGTGAGTAGTAAAGATGCTTCACAGTTCATTTGCCATCTAGCACAGTGATTTTTAACATAACATTAGGATCAGCTAATGCTAATCCCAAATTAGCACTAGGGAGATGGTTGGGCCTGACCTGGCACCTCCCTCCACACACTTTCTTCTCCCAAAGACAAGACTTAAAACCCCTCACATGATTTACTGTGCACAAGAATGGATGTCTGTACCATGGGGAGTGTTAGTGCCATCCAGCTGTGGGGAGCGGCCCCAAGTCTGCTTCTTCCCTCTGCTCTCGATAGCCTTGCAGCTACTAGGAGGCTGTGGGAGTCACTCTCTTTGCTCACTAGGAGGAAGTGTAGCATGAAGGTCCCAGCCTCTTCCTGGACTGCCCCTCTTCCTTCCACAGCCGGATTGTTATTTTCATTATGGTACCAGCTCCACCATCACCAGGCTTCTCAGAGGGTGCCTGGCTCTGTATGAGAGGCCCTGACAAGGTGCCCTGGCTGCTCACATAGTGCCAAAGATTTTCCACATCCATTTCTCACTGCAAGCTGGCCCAAGTCCCTTCATTTGGGAGAAGGTGGAGAGGGGTGGCTTGCAAAGAAGGCCAGAAGGAACAACAATGTCTGAATGTGGGGCAAGGTAATGTAGGAGTATATGGCTTGCAATGAGTGTCGGGAGCTCATTTGCGTTAAAATCATTTCTTGAATGCCCCTCCTTTGTGCATGGTGCATGATACTCGAGTTTGGTGGGTCCATGACATCAGGGGTTTGCTCTAGTCTAGGGGAAGATGCATCAGTGTGGGAGAAGAAGAAGCATTTCTGGCCCCTTTTTATTCCTTGTATTATGCCACCTTAATGGCTCACAAATTTACTGTGGCATAGTAAGTTTTCGTGGAGTGAAGACCTAGCTGTAGACACTTACTTTGAAATATATTGATGTTCATGTAAGTGGACAAAAGGTGCCTGCTGGAAGAAGCATGCAAGACCCCTGATGTGTTGCAGGGGTCCTAAACCTCTGCTGCATGCGAGTCCTCAGGATTAGCCCTGCTTTTGTCCACCTGCTTCCTTCTTCCCTGTCTGTGCATCCCTTTTTAAAAATAGGCATGTCCTTAGGATAGAGATCTTTTTTCAAGATACACACACCTTAGAGCCTGAGGCAACTGCCTCAGACAGGTGATTTGGGATGTCATGAAAAAGCAGCAAATTATTCATTATTTAATGCATTGGTTATTATTGTTGTTTTCTGATTTCCAAGGTGCTTGTAAGGCTTTCTGCTGAGGGCGGGAAGGCAAAATAACTTGATGGTACTCAGATAAGTTTGAGTAAGCCTGCAGACCTTGACTGGGAAGTGAAGGGAAGTGATGCTGTGCCCTGGCAGTCAAATGGCTTGGGACCAGCCCTGGATGTGGCTCTGGGGACCTGTGTGTTGGGGAAAAGACAGCTGAGAAGATTATATGGGAGAGGGAAACTGGCTAGAGAGATATCTATGGAGAAGAAAACATGTTCAGGATTTAATCAGTTTTCCTGTGTAATCCTAACACTTTTTCTCTGAAATAAGTCATGTTGAGTTCGATGGGTAAGTGTATGCAGGAATACCACCTTACTCCTTAATAAATGTGCTCTGAGATGCAACCTGAATTATCCACCCTGAAGATAGTTCCAATATCTAGGGCTAGACAGGCACCCAGGGATCAATATATTTGGTAATTTAAAAACTGAAAACAATGGTAGTCATGCCAGTCAATGCAAATTATATTTGGTCCTAATAAAAGTATTCTGCTATGCATTTTGGTGTGTTAAAAGTTGTATGATTATGAGCTTTCTAGAAACAATATTACCAAATCAACAATGATGTAGTTTTTAGAATGTCAAAAAGTAGAACCCAGTTTTATTTAATGCAGCAAAATAAAAGCATTTGGAATAAAATAAGGAACCACCTTTCCTTCCCCACTTGGCCTGGGGATCAGAGCAACACATTTTGCAAGCTTCAGTCCTGAAGTCTCTGTGCTGTTGTGCCTATTGGTAAGTGGGTGAGGGAGGAATCATTCAGAAGTAAATTCCAGTGTTTTTAATGGGGTTACTCCTTAGCTGTGTAAACTTGCAGCCTAGGAATTTGAGGTATTATAGTCTATGGTACATTCCCAAACTCTCCCATTCCAATATGCCATGTTCAGTTTGAAATTAATCAGTAAATGTTTAAGGTGCACTTTGCTGGCCCTAGACACTCCTTCCTGCCCATCTGGATTTGGATCTGAAAGACCAGGGAAAAGCTTGGGCACATGGAGGGCAAGTAGTAAATGAGTACAATTTGGGACATTGTACTGTTCTGCCTAGAAAACAACCTAGAGGTTATATAGCTAGCCTCATAACATTTAATTTATAGCAGTTATTATTAATTCTGCACACATTTGCCATTTTTGTTCTTGTTTTTGTTCTGTGGCCCTGAGCCCCACATCTTTTTGGTACCTAGAACTGCCCCTGAAAGGGCCTTTCCCACCCAATTAGGCAAGATCTGCTGTTCCTTTTTGATGCTGGATAACTTTCCTCTTGCCAACAGGAATCTATCGGGGGGGGGGGGGTGCTCGGTGTGTCTCTGCATGCTCAGCATGCCAAGATCATGCCACTGCACCCCACAGGTAACCAATTTATTTTATTACTTTTTATTTTTTTATTTATTTAAAACATTTCTATGCTGCCCCCATTACAACAAAGCCTCGTGGCGGCTCACAACAAAAACAAAAACAAACAAAATCGTATAAAAATTTATACACTAAAAACATTAAAACCCGGTGCATCTCGGCTTAATTTTTTTTTTAATCTTCCATAATAAATTAACACTTAAAATAAGTTTTAAATAAAAAGGTCTTAGCCTGGCGCCAAAAAACAAATGACGGCGCCAGGCGGACCTCTCTGGGGAGCGCATTCCATAGATGGGGCGCCACCGCAGAGAAAGCCCTCCTCCGGGTACTCACCCTCCTAATATCATTCCCGGAGAAGGGCATCTGTTGCTGATCTCAAGGGATTTGGATTGGACTTATCACCCAGTCTTGTTCCTTCCAAGGACCCCAAGGCAGCTCACACGATCCTCTTCCTCTCTATTTTTGTCTTCACAACAACCCTGTGACGTAGGTTAGGCTGAGGGTCTGTGAATGGCCTAAAGACATCCAGTGAGCTAAATTAGCAGGGCCTTTGAACCCAGGGCTTTTGAGTCCTAGACCAACACATAGGACATAGGTACCACTCCACATAAATTATCTTTCACTCATCATGATGTTCAGCCTTATACTAGCACTCTACCTGTTGGTTTTAACTGAGCTAAGCATCCTGAATTATGATTGATACACCGGTTCCCTGGGGAATTTCTTCCATGCCAAGATCAGCTGAACAGGGACAGATGTGACGAACCATCGTTCTACCATGAACTTGGAAGCCATAGATAAACAGAGGGGGTTGAGTCTGAATTTTTCCTTTGCATATCAACTCTTCTTCACCCCTGTTCTGTTCTGTTCTGTTCTGTTCTGTTCTGTTCTGTTCTGTTCTGTTCTCTAGATAATTGTAGCACTGTGCTGAGCAGTCCAACTGGCAAGTTCTCCTCGGACAATTTCCCACATGCTTACCCCAACAATGTCTCGTGTCTATGGCTGATCCGAATCCCAGAAAAAAAGGTAAGGATATCACAATCGAGTGTTGAGCTGATGTATCCATGTTATATTGTAGAACCCAGATGTCATTAACCATCAATCATGGGGAAACAGTTGCTTAGCACTACTTGTAAATTTCTTGAGTTTGGTCACTGTCTATGTGTACACGATGCTAGTCTTCAAATCAGTTTTGGGCAGCAGTTCTGGGAACCACAGTCTGTCAAGATGTGAAGAATAACCCTTCACCTGCAGCTGCCATGTCCACAAACACACATACAAACACACAAAATAAAAACGTTTATTTTGTGGTCTAATTGTTGCGAGGGTGCAATTTCCAAAGGGGCTGCAATGCCTGTGGAAGGTTAATCCTCTCCACCTCCAGTAGAACTCTCCCTAAATAGCCATTTGGATTTTTTTCCAGAAAAGAGTGACAAAACTTCAATTGGCATCAATGGTAGTTTAAAACTCTGCTCAACTAATGAATGCATCGGTGTAGGGCTTAGATTGGGCGGCAGGACAAGGAAAAGAGGCCATGAACTGGATTGGGAAGCTCCAAATACTGCAGGTTCACTCCTGGAGTTGTACAAGAGCAAGTAGACCATGGATGCATCTCCTTCCAGTAACTTCTGTGGAAAGTACTTTCAAGCAGACTGGCAACAGAATCAGAAGAGTGATCTCAAAGAATAGCTTTTCTATTAGCAAACATTCCTTTTTGCAAGCTTTCATTTTTCTTTCATTTCCTCTGGGGGAGCATATTTGAGAGAACTGAGAAGGTGAAGTTTTCTGGCAAAGCATCTTCAGTATAAACCCAAGACAACCTTCCTGCCCAGAGATGCTTGTAATCAGCATAGTTGGAGGGCACCAAGTTGGGGAAGGTTGGCCCAAGGGGTTTGTTAAAGGAAAAAAGTAATGGCAACACTAAGGAAAAAGATCTGCTTTTTTAACACTGAAAGCATTTGGTATTTGGGTCATGTGGAGCATTTATCCTGTTTGTCCTTTCGGGTTTATAAATGTGTGAAAGTTTGTGTGTTTGTTTGTCTGTTTTAAATGTATTTAATTTCTGTACCACCCATTAGTCAAGACAACTCTCTGGGTGGTGTACATAATCAAGGTGCAAAATCTAATTCTTGAGTTTGCTTGCTTAGCAGTTGTGAACACTTGCTTTCCACTTGCATTACAGCAATGGTGCTTTGCCCCACCCAACAAGCTATTCCTCAAATTTGAACAAGAACTGCTGAATTCCTCTGCCAACATTTTCCTCGCCTCCCGTCCCCTCCCCTCCCATTTATTACATTTGTATGCCACTCCATAGCTCATAGGGCTCTCTGCAATAGAACAAATACATAAAAATACAATAATACATTAGAGCAATACAATCAAGCAATACAATATTTAATTGTAGGCGATACAAAATCAACAAACCTTACTACAACAATATACTACAAAATGCAATGCATAATACAGTATAACACATATTATATGTGTTATAATATTATAACATATATTATAATGTTAATTATAACATTACAGTATAATATAACGTATAATATAACATATAACCCTACAATGAACGATATGAATAATACGATATGACCACAATCCCCCCCAGGAGGAGGACCCAGAGTGGCGTGGCTCCCTGCTCCTGGGGAGAGCGCAGGTGGCCCTCATGCTGGTCTGCGGTGGGCAAGAAGCGGGCAGGCAGGCGGCTTGCATTGTGAGCCACTGCAAGCTGAAACTGTAGGCTGCGTGTGGATGTGTTTGCTCAAGGCCCCTTGGATACCAGCCCTCGTTCAAGTCTAATTACAAGGGGGTCCATAATTGAAACTGCTGAAAACAAGATCAAAGAGGAATCGTGCACTCTATGTTTCCCTCAAGAAAGTTTGTGCTACAGTTTCTTTTCCAAAATTAATTTCCAGTCTAATTGGCATTTAACATTCTTCCGTGTTCTGATTTGCCTATTTAAAGTTGGTTGTATCTGTTTTGTATTACTCAGTATCACTATTGACAGAGTGCTGTGCTCTCTGTATTCTGTGCAAGGAACAAATTGCATTCACTGCTAATTACATTGTAGCCTTTGCAGTCGGGAGTATATTGCTGTCCTGGCACTTTGTTCACTTATTTCAGCATCTCTTGGTATGACTCATTACCAAAAAAGATCTTCATTTTATCATTGCTATGTGTGACTGGCCACTGATGCACTAGGGAACAGTGGGCAGCACAGAAATATTGCTTGGAAGGCATATGCTGTAAATATGAACAGAAAGGATGTGGGTTTTTTCTGGCTCGTTTGAGCTGAGGCTGAGATGGAGTGAGAAATGTTGGTGAAAGGCAGAGTGGAAAAGCAAAGAAGGCCATTCACAGTATGGAACCTTTATAGCACTATGCATGTATGTGCACATTTCTGGAAAATATGGAATACACGTTACCTCTATCATGATGGTGTGGCAGGAGACTGCTTCCACATGTGGAGCGATTGCTATTGCATCGTAATGTATAGAATTGCTTATCAGATAGTTTGGCTCCATGGTGTTAAGAATCTCTATGGTGCTGGTCCCTGGTACTGGCATTTGTGGGTGGGAGCATGATACGAATTCCACACAGCGCTTCCAGGCACTGCAGCTGGGATAGGGATCTTCTCCCATCTTCTACTCTTTCTCAGCAGCATCCCTGTGGCAAATATGTGACTTTCTTTCCAGGCACCACTGGAAGACACGCAGCTAGGAAGAATCAGGGTCAAGCCAAGCTAAAGGCCTTTTCTTTTTCCTGCTTCAGGTTTTTCTGAGTTTTCATGTCATGGATCTCCAGCCCTCCCCAAACTGTGCCTCGGACTACATCCGGGTTTATGACGGAATCAGCCGAAATGCCCGGGTGCTCGTTGACAATTTTTGTGAGGCAGGGACATTGCCTGCTGTGGTGGCTTCTGGAAGCATGTTGCTTGTCGAGTTTGTGAGTGATGAGGATACCTCTGCAGCGGGTTTTTCAGCGTCCTACACTCATGGTACGCATTGCTGCTAAAAGTATTAGGGTTTGGGGTGGAAAGTAACACATACGTGCAAGATGAAGCCCTGGGAGGCAAAGTTGTCCCTCGTGTATTTTAGGTAACTCTTCCAAGGTTCCTGAAGTATGGAAATCCTTCAGTCCATTTGCTCTCATGTCACTCCAGATAGTCTGTGGACCTTTAGCAGGTGTTCATTTTGGCATCTCAGACATGCTCAGAAGTAAGTCCTACTGTGTTCAGAGTAGCCGAAAGTGCAACACTGTGGTTCACTGGAGGAATAGCAGAGCTGAGACAGGGCTCCCCCTCATCCTAGTTGTGCAGCAGTGGGAAGCGATTCCTAAGACTGCACCTCCCTACCAGTCTTGAGGCATTGTGTGAGCCAGTTGCAGAGCTGGCTGGGATTTTTGCCAGAGCTGTCTGCTTCCCTGCTTCTCGGTGCCCTGTCTCTCTCAAGACAACATTGAGAGTTCATACACTTACATTTGTATCCTGCCTCTACTCCAAGGAGATAGGCGTAGCCTCAGAACAAGCTTGTGCGGTTAAGTTAAGGAACTGTTTCAGGCACACGGTGAGCTTCATGGCTAAGTGCGTGTGTGTGCAGGGGGCGAACTTGGGTTTCCCACAGTGCTCTAGCAGGCTTAGAAGAATTTCTACCTACACACTCTCAGAAAATTTGGGACAGTCTTCTGGGCAGCTCCACATCACAAGGTTTCCTTCAAGTATAGACATAGATATATATATTTAACCACAGTGATTTTTCTTTTAACCATTTGAAGCTTGTCTTTCTTCTCATCACAGTGAAATGTGGGGGGACTTTCACTGACATGTCTGGAGCAGTCATCTCCCCAAACTTTCCTGGAAGGTACCCTGCAAACCAAGCCTGCCTGTGGATTATCAGTGCTCCAGGAGGAAGCAGGGTAAGAGGGCCGGAAGAGATTTGCCTGATGACTTTAAGTGGACTGCAGTCCATGGCTCTTCTGTAATTTCCCAGGATATTGCTGAGATTTGGAGCAGGATCCAGGTTCATACTTTGCTGACACATGACAGAGAAGTGGGAACTTGGATCCTGCTCTGAAACCCAGCAAATATCCCGGAAGATTAGTCCCTTGATTCATATCCTGCTCCTAGGCCAGCAAGTACTCTGGCTGAAAAATTTGTGGGAAAAAGAAAGTGAGAAGCTAGTCAAGTCCAGGGGTCAGTCCACAGGGTCCAACCCTAGCCCCCATGAAAAAGGGCTGGAAAAAACAGGAAAGGCCCTGGAGGACAACAGCAGTATGAAGGAGACTTTAAAACTTCTGTGAGTGAGGGATCCTGAGCGCACTCTTAACACCTCATATAGGGAAGCCCTGGGAGGTGGGAGAAGCACTTCTTCAGGTGTATGATTTGTTATGGCATCCTCCATGGAAAGTGCCATCTTGCCCATATATGCATCCAAGGAGAAATTGCAAGGAATGAGAAAGTAAGTGACCCTATCCAATGGGAAAATCTTTGCCATTTAAACAAATTAAATCTTGGTCTGATGTTAAGCAGGGGCTGGCGGATCAGATGAAAGCTTTATTATTTTAAAAGAAATTACACATTTCATCCTTGGGAGAAATGGAAAATGGCTTTTTGGACTCATTTGTTAACTGTTTAGGGCACAGTTCTATGCATATCTAGACAACTGGCTGGGAAAAGGCAGGAGTAAACTTTTGCTGGCTTTACACCCTTAAAGAATATATTTGTAAAAGCCTCATAGCATGAAATAATTCCTAAATGACCCGATGCCCAGTGGAATTCCTTAAGAGAGAAGAGCTGCTCTTTCTTAGGCAGTGAAAAGCCAATTCTGATTGCTTATAGAACTAGAAAGAGTTTGCATCTGATCCTCTTTGGAAAGGGACATATTAGATCATGGGTCCTCAAACTACAGCCCGGGGGCTGGATCCGGCCCACCATGCCCATTTATCCGGCCTGCCATGCCCATCTGGACCTGCCGCGCCCACATGCATGCCCGCCGCCGACCACCTCACCCCACACGCGGGGAGGCAGCGATCGGAGAAAATGATCTCCAAGTGAGCAAGCCATGGCCTCGTGCACCCACCTTGTGGCGAGTACCTGCCCCTGCCTTGCCTCCCTTCGCTGCGTGTGCACCCCACCCCTGCCTCAGCGCACCCCCCCCCATGCACTGCCCCTGCTCCCGCCCCTGCGCCGGCCTGCATGCACCGCCGGCACCACCGTTCCGGCCTGCACCCGGCACCTATCAACTGACCTCCTGGTGAAAAAGTTTGAGGACCCCTGTATTAGATCAAGCATTCCAGCCTTCTTGAACATGGCGGTGGATTTCCTGTACCAGTAAAGCACTTGAACCAGACAGCTTCTGCAGTCTCTTCCAGTGCTATAATTCTATGAAGTCCAAATGCTTACTGGTTTACGCATGCTTTAATGGTGAGATTGGATAGGTATCTTATTCCAAAATGCTGGGCATAGAAAAACTCTTTCCTTTTTGTGATTCTCTCAGATATCCTTAACAATGGCCTTTTTCGAACTGGAGGACGTTGCTGGGTGTAGGTATGATCGACTTGTCCTTCATGATGGCAGTCAAAACAGTTCCCCTCTCATTGGCACATTCTGTGGAAACACTGACATCCCCCCTTTCAATTCGACCGGGAGCTTCCTACGGATAGAATTTTATACTGATATTGCCTTTGAATACTCTGGATTCCGTCTGGACTACTCAATCAGTTAAGTACTGTTAGTGGATGATCTGAGAGGGAGATGGCAAATTTTTGTGTTGATGAAAGTAAAAAACATGGGTTGGATCCAGTATTTGCCTTCCATAAAAGGAGAGGACTTTTCATGAGAGAGACCTGTGTCCCATTTTCTCGTGCTTTTACACAGCCCACCCCATTCAGCAGAGTCTCTTGACACTCTGAGCAGCAATTCCAGAGGGCTGGAGAAGATGCCATGGAATGGAGAGAACTGGAAGTCTAGTTTTACCTGCACTGTTGATCCAGCTTAAATCTCTATCCCCCACTGAGTTGTATTACCACATTATTGCCTTGACTGAGGGATATCTGAGTCACCTCTGCAACCAGATGTTTAGTGAAATTGAAGTATTATAGCTACATTGACCTGATGCACAGAGCAGAGTCAGTGGGAAGCTTAAGTATGGTCGCATCCCATTGATGGCCTACTGAGAAGAGTGCCCTGCATTTGCTCCTCCTCTTGCACGCTGTTTCTTCATCTGCCTTTCACACAGGCCTACAAAATGGGGCTGCTGAGGAGCGGAAGCAGAAAATACCAGTTGCAGTTTGCTACCTGGCTCTCTGCCCATCAAGTTGGTTAGCAGTTGGATCGAGCAGAGGTGGGCAGAAAATAGATCTCTGGATCAGCTCTAATAAGAATCTGCCTGCAGAGAGAATAGTCAGGAATGGTGGGAGCTGAAGTTCAACACATCTGGAGATCTACCTTCTGCCTTCTTGCTGATAGCAGAGTGTAGGGCATGGGATAATCAAGTAAACTTGTGACAAACCAGATTCAGGCTAGATAGCAGGAAAAGTTTTCTCGCTGTCAGAGTGCAGAGTGGCAGTAGAGCCAGTTACCTAGAGGAGTCATGGGCTCTTCTACCCAGAGACATTCAAGGCAAAACTGGATGCTCATTTGCATGGGATGGTGTAAACTGATGTCCTGTAAAAGCAGGGAGTTGAACTTGATGGTCTTCTTGGCCCCTCCCACTTCTACTATTCTATGATTCTATGAATCTACCTCTGGTGTAGAGGTAAGAAGCAAAATGCCATATTCTGGCATCAGCCCAGCTGTGGTGCTCAAAATGGAATGATTCGTTAGGGGCTAAGTAGGAAGGACAGAAGTTAAAGTCACTTAAAAGTGGAAACTATGACAGCCGTGCTGTCTTACTGTAGGCTCAATCTGTATTAAATAAAATACTCTGATGCAGACAAAAGATCAAGTGGGCTACACTGCAATGATGAGAAAGAGAAGCAGGAGCAAGAGCAACTGGTAACAGTGGCACAGGAAGGCCGATTCCCTAAGGGAGGGGGCCCACGGAGGTGTTGTGCCCAAGGCCTTCTGAATCCTGGAGCTGGCATTGGCGCAGAGGGACTCAGAATCAGGAAAGCTAAGTTCCTGGGCCAGCAGAAGGCCTGGATGTTGATGTGAGCCTTGATTCCCTATGGCACAACTGTCATTCACATCTGCAATGAGCACTCTGGATGATGCAAAACTAGCTGCCAGGTTACATCACTGTGGAAAATTGACAAGATAGCAGTTTCATATTGAAATTAATTTGATGATGATGATGTGCTATAAGGAGGAATAATCTGAATCTCAGTCTCATGTCTTACAAAACATGACAATACCCTCATGCTTTCTGGCTGGGCAAAGCCAATTTGCTCGACTCAATGTACTTTCACTTCAAAGGCTTCCACATGTAAGCATACATTAACAAGAACGTTTATTAAGTGCCATCATATGGCTTGACTGACAGCAGATTATCTTCACCTTTTGTTTTACTGTCTGCCATGCACACCACCAGCTTTTATGTGAGAATATGCCAAATTCATACCAGGATGCCATGTTAATGGCATTGACGAGTATCTAGCACAAAATCTTCTTTTCTGAGTGGCTGAACTTCTCCAACGTCTCAGGAAGAGGTCTTGCATACACCCTGAGATGCTGGAAACGTCAAAATGCAAAGCATGTCCTCGGCTTTGGCTTTCCTTTACATATATTCCTTTACATATTACATTACTATGGCTTTCCTTTACATCAGGAGTACATGCAACCCATAGAAGATGTAGGCTGGATGGCTACCCACAGGCTTCCTTCCTGGGGCTGGGCTCCAGAGAAAGTGATCGGCCAGGCAGGTGCTCAAGTAGTCTCCAAAAAAGAAGCAGCTATGTAAGCAGCTATGTCTAGCGAGTCCCAAGGGCCAAGATGGATTGGCAGCTCTGCTGTGTCAACGGGCGCCTAGGAAGGCAGAGATTGATAGCACCTTGGACAGCACACCGCAGATGCTGTTCAGCTGGAGTACATCCTCATGCGAGGAATTATTGCTCCAGCAGGAAACCAGCAGCAACGGACAGCTTAAGACAGCCAGGCATCTCAGGTTCCTTAGAAATGCCACCCCTCTCTGGATACGGACTGCAGTCTGCAAGAGCCTGCACTCCTTTTAGTAGCCTTAAGCTCCTGTGTGGCTGAAAGACCTAAAAGGCTTTAGGAGACCTATTCTTGGAGGCTGAGGTTGATGGCAGGAAGTCTTGGGCCCTGGGAAAGGCATCAGGGGATCCTGAGGGTGCTCCCTGGAGTGGGGTGATCAGAATCTCATTCCACTCAGTTGTGTTTGGGGTGGCAACATGCCTCCATTGCAGATATACCCCTGTGGAGGGGCACAGTGAAGGCCTGGGAATGTGGGCTGCCTACGCTTGCCTTATTGCTTGACCACAGAATTTAAAACATGCAAAATAGAAACAGAGTGAGTCAGAAGGGGCCTCCCAGGCCACCTAGTCTGACCTTGGTTCCAGCCGGCTCTGCTTATGACATGCCTTCCATGTGCATGACCAGCCTATGCTTGAACACCCTCACTGATGGGGCTTCAACCACCTCCTTGGGGAACAGTCTGAAAGGGCTTGGCTGGGAAATTAAACCATGCTGCCCTGGCTCTTCACCCAGGCCCATTATTCCCTCAAATTTTGTATTCACTAAAAAGGTCTAGATCACCAAAATAGTGCCAACATTCACAGCTGGGTGCTATGTCACGACTTGGATTCTACACATGCTAGGATGGCAAACACTGATGCTCTTGCAATTTAATGGCCTAGTTTTCAGGAGCTTGAAGCATGCTTTATCTGACTTTACAGTTTCACCATTGTGACAAATGGCCTATGCTGGGATTCCCTTCTTTCTGAGTTGCCAACAAGAAAGAGGACTGACATTCCGACACTGGCTTTCCATGGCCACTTGCTGACATTGGTGCTTGTTTGTTAAAAACTGAACCATTTCTCCTGGCAATGGTATTAATAATATTCATGCTGTGTGCTAAGTAGATGAAGGAGATAACAGAAAGAATGTGATGCTGCATCTTTTCTAGAAGTGTCTTTACAAGTCAGCTTGGAATGGACTGTGCGACAAGCTGTGTAAATAAAGCAGAGGTGGGACTTGTGTGACTGCTACCCCCATCATCCCTCACCATTGGCTAGGACTGATGGGACTCATAGTCCAGCATCGGAAGATTCACAAGCTGCCCACCTCTAAAACAAAGCTTAACATGCCCTTCATTTTTTTCAGTTTGGTTTGCTCTGCTAATATTTCCAGCCTCTAGTTTGCTTGACTTGTATTCTTGATTCAAGCCTTTTCCAATAGAACATTTCTATAAGTATGTATAAGTCCAGTGGCTTTATACATAGCAAATGCCAATGCTATGTGCTTTACACACTGTCTGTCAAGTTCAAAAGGATTTATTTTTTTAGTGCCAGTGTGGTGTAATGGGAGTACTGGCCGCAGATTCAAGAGATCCAAATTCCGGTCCCCTTTCAGCCATGAAGCTTACAAGGTGACTTTGTGCCAGGTGTACACAGCTTTATTTTGTAGCCAGAGCAAAATAGAAGGCAATAACAATGTGTGACAGATAAGAACCAGTCTTTGGCCTGACTCACACGGCCTGCTTACCTTTCCAGCATTGGCAAATGTGTTTGTGCAGGAGACAAGAGTACAGATATTTTATTTCTATGTGCTTTCAATCACCCAGGTATTCTGAAGTTTGCTTTAACCCATGTAGGGTTCCATGGGACTACTAAATATGTCAAAGATGGCCAACACATTTATTTAAATGCACTCTGTGTGCATGTGATAGAGAAGCGGGAACCCTTGCATGCCTCAGTCAGCCCTACCAGTAATGTGTGATGACAACCATATGTGTGCATAATTCACACACATTGCTTCTCTCTCAAAAATGAGGGCACATATTGCATTATAGGCAAGGTGGAGGCTTAAGGACCTGTAAGTTTCTCCATCAAGTGAACAAAGGGTCCATTAAGTGCTAAAACCAATCCAGTGAATATAAGTGAACTAGTCATACATATCTGTGTTATATTCCTTTAAATTCTGAAGCTATGCACATTGGTCCCAACTTACCTAGATGTAGAAGCAGAATTCTGCACTGCTATTTCTACCTTGACAAACAAATGGATGTTGTGGAGGAGATTCCCTAGTCTAATCAGGCAGTGTGGACTATATATGTTGTCAAATGAGCTGCAATGGCCTTAATCAGTCCTTCAGGGACAGGGAGGCTGAACTTAGAAGGAATCAGACCCAGGCTGTACCTACAAAATAAGTCTTCCCTGTTCTGATGAAATGTGAAACTGCAAAGTCTGTCTCAGTAAATTCAGTGGGGCTTATTGCTAGACATGTGGACTGCCCTGAGGCACAGAGAAGGGTGGGATATAAAAGCTATAAATAAATGGATGGATGGATGGATGGATGGATGAATACTTATATAGAGAGGCTCTGAAACCTGTGCCTGCCACTGTATGATCACTGACAAATTCTACCATCATGATGTATTTGGAAGATGTTAAGGATGGGGCCATCTTTATCCCACAGGTCAAACTTATCAAATATCAGATAGCATGAAGAGGAAATGAAAGTGTCAAATGCTTGTCACCATTCTCTGATTTATATGTTTTACATTAGAACAAGGCCTAACCCATCATGACATTTTTAGGTGGATGG